ACCGATATAAAATTATAGCTGCCTGGCTGTATTTAAAAGGTTACTGATGTTCAGATTGTGTTAATTATGAAAATTGAAACTTATTGGTACAAGAATTGTTAAGTTTCAATAGGTAAAAGTGTTAAAAACAAAAAAGTCTAGAAATTCATGGATATAAAATATTATTTTTAAATTTACCACTCATTACCACCCGCAAAGCGCGTCTGTGCAGAAAACTGCCACTGATGGATGGGCTTGCTAAAAGAGGCCATCTTAGTGCCCACAGGACGGAAAGAGTTAAAAATAGACCGAAAATTAAAAAATAAAAGTAATTTTTATCTTCTGGCATTCAGGAAGCTCGGCACTACTTAAAAGATTATTGGGGCTGATCGGGTTCCAGCCTCTACACGACCGGGTGGCCAAGCGGTCAAGGTGGCAGCCTACCGGTCTGAGGGACACAAGATCGATTCCGAACGGGATCGATCCAAAAATTCCCCAGGAATTTTCTGGGGTTGGTCCGATCGGATATGTTGGCCTCCGTTCCTCACTACCTGGCCACCCCATTATGGACTTGGCCGAACCCATAATGGGCTCGCTAAAAGAGGCCCTCTTAATGCCCACAGGGCATAAAGAGTTTAAAAAAACCCTTACAGTCTGAGGACATCCTCCTTTTGAACTAAAAGTGATATGTTGTATGTAAAATGACATTTTCAGAAGTGAATGGTTTAAAAAATGACTTAAGCCCCGATTTAAACGTAAATTTTTAAAATACTCTAAATTACTTTCTTTTCTATTAGGATGCAGTCTTTCAATATGCTCTCTTATCGTGGATGGCTTCATAGCATCGTTAGTAAATGTTTTTTACGGATGAGATATAAAGGCGTTGTATTATTTCCTAGAGTAAGAATAAACCCTAAGCTTAAATATCCTTCGGAGTACTGTCGGCACATTCTTTTTGGTACTGACATGTTTATTAAATTCATTAAAATTAAATAAAAATAAAAATAATGAAGCAATCACGTCTGAAAAATAATTATTTATATAAATATCTACTTACAAGTATTTGCACAAACTGATATATTTTTATAAACTGTAGAATTTCAAAGAATGTCAGAAACGTTCTTAAAATCGTCTTCTGCCTGTATAGTTGCAGGGTCAAGTCAATCTGGAAAAACTACATTAGTTAAAGAAATGATTAATAGAAATTTTTACGACAAACCTATAAAGAAAGTCCATGTAGTGTTATTCGTAGAAAAACAATATCTTTAGGACAAAATGAATTGTGGCAATCAGATTTAGTTAATTTAAAAGATTTAGCTAAAGACAATAATGGATATAAATATTTACTAACAATTATTGACGTATTTTCAAAATATGGTTATGTAATTTCAATCAAGAATAAATCATCTGATAGTGTATTAAATCTCTTTGAGAAAGTATTTAAACATAATTTACCATTAAAATTACAAACTGATCGTGGTTCTGAATTTTTTGACAGAAAAATAAAAAATTATTTTCTGAAAAATAACATTCATCATTACTCGACTTTTTCCGAAACTAAAGCAAATGTTATTGATCGCTTTAATAAAAACTTTAAAAAATAAAATGTTTAGATTATTTACATGTCGTAATTTACACAAATAGGCTATATAGATGTATTACAATAACTTGTAAAAAGTTACAACAATAGTATTCATAGAAGTATAGGTTCAAATATTTTTGAATGATGAATTTTAGTTACTTTAGCTCTTGCTAAAGTAACTAAAATTCATCATTCAAAAATATTTGAAAGATTATATGGTCAGAAACAGAAAATTAATTTTAAATTTAAGATTAATAATGATCATGTAAAAATTTCGAAATCTAGAAGAAAATTCTCTCGTGGACATTTACCAGGGTGAACTCAATAAATATTCCTTATATATAATAGATTTTCAACTGATCCGCCAACTTATTCTTTAAAAAATTTAGCAGGAGAAATTATAAAGGGAAGGTTTTATGCTGAAGAATTACAGAAGTTAAAAAATCTGATAAAGATTTCTGGATTATTGGAAAAATACTGGAGACAAGAGGAAAAAGTTCGAATAAAGAATATTTTGTTAACTGGTTAGGTTTTGATTCAAAATTCAATTCATGGATTAAAGAATCATGGCTGAAATGAAATATGAATTTTATGTTATTCTACCATATATTCAAATTTAAACGTATTTCCATCTAATACTTCATCACATTACATTACAAAGCTAGTCTAGCATCACCTATTAATTTGATTGGAAAATGGGAAGTTGGTATACTAGAATGTATTATTCCCAAATCTTGGTTTAATATAACTAATTATTCGAATAAATAGTCTATTATTTATTAGAAAAGAAAGAACAACTTAACTTAATTCCAGATGAAAATAAAATATATCATATACCATTATTTTCTATAAACGTAAAATTTCATTTCAAAACGAAAACTTTCAATATGTTGATAATAAAGAAAATTTAGTTTGGAAAATAATTTATATTTATTAATATGTTTTATAACTCTCTAACCATATAATTTAAATCAAAAGACTGTTATGAAAAATTTTATCAAATTTCTTTCGTAAAACGTACAGAATGGCCTGCATATTAATGAAATCTCTGTAATAACGATTCGATCTCAGTATTTAGAAAAGAAATAATGCACTACATTTGATATCTTATTTTTTAAAGAATATTTTCTAATAAAATTATTTAGTATATTTTAAATCTTATGCATGACCTATTGATTTTTGATATGTTGTAAAGATTTCTAATTATACTCGTACGTTCAAAGACTTAAAATCTAGATTTAAATTTTATGAATCAAGAATTATTGTTTGTTAGTAAATGTACAAAAAAATCTATATTTGGTAAACCTCAAACATTGTTCAGCTTCGTTTGAGAGAATGGCTGAGGTTACAAACATGGTTCAGGTATCATAATAAAGTTCTTGTCCCGTAGTCCATTGCAATCAGAAATGAAAAATTCACAATCGTTCGGACGTGTTGTAGCGACAAAGATACAACATTAAGTCTACGGGACAAACACACTTGATGAATTTTTCGACAAACCTAGCAACAAAAAGAAGAATAAACTTCAACATCCGACTGTTGGTACGTCTAAGAGTTTTATTCTTATATATTGAGAAGCCTAGGAAAAGGTGATGACGGTATTGGGAGTCCACCAATACCGTCCTCGTTAATCGTCAGTCCAAGTCAGTCGGCCTTAAAAATGATAAATTGCTACCCTGGGACCCGAATGTAAAATTGAAAGAAGTATCATGGTACTAGAGAATAGGTAGACCCAATCACCCACAAACTGGCCCTAAGAACACTTGCTATACTGATGATTTTTGTGTAAAACGTCAAATTTTAAATGGACTCATTGTATTTTAATTTAATAAAGCCGTCAACTTCGACGGCTTCCTGCTAGTAAATATTTAATTTAATTATTAATTCATTTAATAAAAGTTGAAATTGCTAATATAAGAAATATATTTACTTTTATTAAAAATTTAACGAAACATTATTTCACAATATTATCAATCTTTCAAGACAAATTTACATAATATTTTTTAACAGAATGAATTGAAATATTACATAATTACAGAATCAATAATATTTTTAAAACTACTTATTGATCTTGACATTCAAATTCTATTTGATATTTTTGATAAAAACAGTCTTAGCTCTAAAAATATCGAATTTCAATGCATAATAATGAAATCATAAATCATAAACGATCACATTATCTCTGAATATGAATCTATAAATTTTTTCCGTGTACTTTGCATAATATGAGTAAGTTATATAAAATATCAATATGAGTAGTTTATAGGTCTAAACATAAAGCGACGTCCATCATTCTGTCATGTTTTGAAAGTTTAGTTTAAATTACAATGTTACAAACTAATGTTTGATATTTTTTTCCATTATCGCATTAAATTCTAAATAATACTATAAAGAAGATTTGAAATCGATGCTTTGCGAAAAAAGGAATAATATTTTAAAAATTCCTACTTTAAATATAATTTTTAAAATGGATTTTCAAAATATGTAGGCTATTAGGCTTATACGTTTATTTTCACAAAACAAAAGACAATTGATTGTTATAGTTTAGAACATTCTTGAATTATTTGTAAATTTGAAATGGATGGAGCTTTCTAAGAAATAAGCCGTATAAAATTTATGTATTGTATTAAATTTAAAAAGTGGAAAATATGTTTACATTATTTAAAATTAAATTTGATAATAATAATAATAATAATAATAATTGATTTTACATTTAACTTTGTTTACAATCCAGAAAACAAAATTTTTGGTATAGTTTAAATGGTCTAAAATATCCCTGAAGAGACCAATAGAAGTGCCTGACATAAATTTTGTTTATAAATACATATAAATTGCATAAATTGTTTTTAAGAAAAATTAAACATGATTCATGATAACAAATTGGATAAAATTTACAGACAAAATTATTTTTTTATAAGTTAAACATATGTATTATAGATATATTTACTAAGTACACATTAAAGAAAAATCATATACTATTTTATAATTATAAAATTATAGTTTCTTTTTCTATTCTACACTAATTCTTTAATCTTAATTAATATTACAATTAATATAATATTATAATTAACTATACTATAGTACCGAATTAAAAGCAAATTAATTATAATTTTACAATAAGTTATTGTTTCTCGACGATTTTGAAAATCGTTAAAATCAATAATAAATATTTCCGAAATAAAATTTTAAAAAATGATATATGTAAATTAAAATAATCCTTAGAGAGAATAATTATTAACACATCGTTAGCTTAACACGTATAAAGCAGTGAAGTGAGTAAAAAGTTTCCTTTCCTCTTTCAATGTGATTCTTCTGGTTGATAACATGCGCTTCGATTCCATTGATCGACTAGTTTTTATACAGGAAAACGATTAGATGGAAGCGCCACCTTTCTTCATTGGTCATCGTCACGTCAGTCATAAACCGCACCCTGTCTGGGATGTGAGATTCGGATGCCGATAATTTTGTTTGATTCCGTGAAGAAAATTGCGCTTATGACTTTAAATATGCCCGATAATTTATTTAAGGAACGTTCTACTTATCATATTGATAGTATATGATTGGAATATTTGGAGCATAAGTGAAGCGATTATCGATAATTGTATTATAACTGGTGTAAGTTTATCTCCAAATAAGAAGTGGTTTGAAGCACGTTAGCATCGGAACGGTATTCGAAGATCGTGTTACAATGACTGATCAACGTGTTACTTAAACCTAACAACAATAACTCGTGTAGTTGCGCTGTGAATGATGGGAAGGCGGCCATTCAATCTGTGTGACAATTATTATCGTTCGACTGAATAAACTAGACGAAGTTTCTGACTCATTTTTTTCGTATATTAATAAGTGCATTATAGATATGGATAAGTTCCGAGTTGGCGCTGGAGGTAAATTTTATTTATCTATTAATTATAAGTGATTTTTAAATGATAAATATATTATATAATTGGTAAGTTACACGCCTTACACAGCTCGCTAATAATCCGGACTTGGGTTTAGATTCTGTAAATGGGTGTTCTCCCGCAAACGTGTTTGTTGTGATGGAAAGAATATGCTCAGGGAAAATTCAAAAATTTCTTTCACAATTCGGTTTTTCTCTACTTTTTTGTTTTTATATAACAATTATATTGATTATATTATAGTATAGGATTATAATTTATTATTCCTTTTAGAAATTACCTATTAATAACCAGATTCTAGGATTTTTAACGTTTTCATCTCTAATTTAAATTAAATAATATATATTTATATTAAAACCTTAAGTTTATTATAGATTTATATATTTTTAAAGTGAAATAATTATTTAAAACCTTTTACATCCATCTTTTAGTTATATAATTAAGTTTTTGGTAATGCAATTTAACTGCTAGTTAAACCGAAATTGCTATTACTTGTTAAAATAAATATAGATTTCATAAACATAAACCTGTCTGTTTGAAATCGTTAGACTACTGATATAGGAAAAATATTTTTGTTCTCATTTTCAATCGATAAAATATATACAAGATCTATCAATATTATCTATTTAATGTTTATTTAAAATTTTTGTTTCAGTTTATCCAAATACAATTCTAGATATTTTTCCTCTATTATTTAAATAATAAGATATTATTGTTGGCATTTAACATTTCATATTTACTATTATTACCTTAAAAACTTTATTAAAACTTTTAAAAATTATTAAATTTGTAAACTTAGTGAAACTTAACTTGAACTTAAAGAAGTTTTTTTCCCATCTTTATTATTTTAAATTCTATACATAAGTTTGAACAAAAGTGTTTAATGTTTTGATTATATTGAAAGCTTGGGAATATTAAAAAAAACATACTAAACAATATTGTATATATACATATATATGTGTGTATATATACACATATAATATTTGAGATATAATGTATTATATTGTGGAGTAGAAAATTTTATGACTATTTTACCTGAAAAGTTTAAGTGTGAAAAATAATTAATTTAATATATTTTTAAAATACTCTTTCAGTATAGAATATTGAAATATCGATTTGTTAAACAACCCATTATCTTTATAATAAATATAAAAACATAAATTCACTCTTGTAAAGTAATACATTAAAGTATCACTTTTCAGTAAAGTATTACTTATACAATACTGTAAATGTTTTGTTTAGAATCATCTTTATATCCAATTTAAATATAAATTTGATTATTACTATATTTATGTAATATTTATTATTTAAAAAATAAAGTTGTTAACAGAAATTAAGACAAATATATAACTAAATATATGTATCTTAATTTCTGTTACAAGTTATCAAATAAAAAACGAGTTGAAATGATTATAGTAATTTAATGTTTGTTTATGTAACTTACATATAGTTTAAAGTATCAAATTTAATATATATATATATATATAAAATTTGATACTTTAAACTTTGATATATATATATATATATATATACACACACACACACA